GTTTATATTTTTTTTGGTTTGTTAGTAATAGTTATAGGTTTGATGTTACACTAAGAGTTTTAATTTCATTTTGTTTACTTAATAATTGTTTCTATTTTAGTTTTGAGTATTTGATGCTAATTTTAGTTATCCATTCCATTTTGAGTTTTAAATCAAAATCACTTGTTTATAGAGTAATTAGTTAAAGTGTACAATTACTAGTAATTACTCTGACAATTTACGTCTTGTGATGTGAATTAAATGAAAAGTAATAAAAATATAATTTTAGCCATTAATCCCTTTTTTTCAAAAAACAAAAACTTACAAATGTACCAGTTAGCAATATTCCAGAATCCAGACCATAATCACAACAGTGATTACAGTGACTTGTGATCAGACATCAGAGAAAAATATTAAAACTTACAATATACACTTACAAAACAATTTTGAAAATTAACTTATTTATAGTAATTAATCTCCATTATGATTGTATCTGACAAAAAGGTTTACTCTGTGCTGACAGCTATGCCTAGTAAACTCAGTAATGTTCACAGACTGACCCTTATTGCTCCTTCCAACACCATAAGAAAATTTAAAACATATGCCTTTGAGAGAAAATTAGTTGAAAGTTTAAACCTTTCTAAGTAAACAAATCAAATTTTTACCAACTACTGTTGCTATTTTGAGATTTTTAATTTTTATTCATGATCATTTTGAAGAAACATTTAGTTTTGTTTAAGTAATACCTTTTAGTTTTCAAAAAAATGTTAATTTTAATTTTCATTAATGAAAATATCGCTGGATAGCACACATGAAGTTCTAAATTTCCAAGTCACTTGGAAACAGAGAAAATAAAAACCTATTCATTCTAATTAAAATACAAGGGTCATCAAGCAATCATCTCTTGCCCATTGATAATTACTTGACAAGAGAAAGAGCACAAACTGTAAAAGCAGCACATATAGAAAGAAATACAAAACTCATTGACAATGAAACACTCGATTAAACGAGAGGAAAATTACAGGCACACAGTCATAATCCCCTTTGTCAAAGGTCTCTCTGAAAGCATACAAAATATATGTAAACAGCATAAAGTAAGAACAGTACTTGGAAGTCACAACACAATACAATCACAGTTTATACATGCTAAACCATCAGAAGCCTGATGAAAAACAAAAACACAATTTACAACATCTGGTGTGAATGTGGACTCCAATACATTGGAAAAACAGAAAGACACACACACACACACCAGAAAAGTCCCTCCTCTCTCTCTGATTTAAGATTGTTTTACTGATCAACTTTACATGGACATGGTTATCACCACTAGAAAAAGCAGATTCTCCCCTACATAAATCTGCACCTTGTCTCAATTTCCCACCTAGATTATTCAGTAGTCACATTGTTTTTCATTCATTGATAATTCCGTGCCAACAGAATCTTTTAAAATATTTGTAGCTTATGTAGATAACTAGATAAAATATAGTAGTTTTGGAATAAATAACTTTTCTGATATGGAATCAGTAATGGATCGAATAGGTTTTAAACGGTTAACATTTTTGCAACATGTTCATGTATTTTTCATGACCTTGTAACCACCAGATAACCATGAAAGTATGCATATTATAACTCTAAATTTAGGTAACTTCACAAAATTTGGTAAGCTTTCAGTAAACATAAATCTTTTATACACAGAATGTTTAATTAAGTAATTTTACAAAAAATGTGTCCATAATTATCAAGAAAAAAAGTGTTAACTGCTCCAAGTGCACAATGATTTTCATGTTAAGATTAAAAATACTTTGCTTCATATGAAAATTTTCAGATTTCATTTGTGTAACCTCTAAAACCTCATAAATAAATATCAAAAGTTTTTTGTTTCAAAAAAACTTTATATTTTATCTGTTATTTTTCCCTACCATAACTCTATATAGAGTTGGTCAATTTGACCAACCTCGTAACCACGACATAAAAATTAGGAAATAAATCTAAATTACCCTTTTTTTCTATCTAGAATGACTTCATGAAACCACAATTGTTTATCCTAAATAGCTTAAAGCTTGTAACAGTATACATCTATTAATATTTAATTCCACATGCCCATTAACCATTACTTAATTTACACTTTCCCCGCTGATTTTTCCAAGCCCATTCCCTTGGCTGTGGTTTCGCTAGATAGTACGGCCATATTAACGGTACTACTAGGGGCATAAGATGATTTAAAAAAATATTTCATTATAAAATTTAATGGCATATAATTACACTTATACAATGCAGCTTATGTTATGGCATCAAACTAAATAATGCACAAGCTGCTTGCAAGCACAGCTTGCAAAGAATTTTTATTATTACAATTATTATTTTCATTGTCTTATCTAATCTAACTTTACAAGTTTCTAATTTTCACATTTCTGGCATAAAATATAAAGTTTTTCTGAAACGAAAAACTTTTGATATTTATTTATGAGGTTCTAGAGGTTACACAAATGAAATTTGAAAATTTTCATATGAAGCAAAGTAGATAAAAAAAACACATGAAAAACAAGAAATATAGTCCTTACCTAGGTCTTCCTTTTTTTTGCCGTCGACTATTAATGAAACTTAAGCCTACCTATTTATATTAACGGTACTACTACAATAAATAACTTTATATATATTTAATTAAATAATGCACCTAAGAACACAGAATAATAATACACAAAAAACAATGTCCTATAACTATCATAACTTTTCTGGCTTTTTAATTATGCAATAAGAGCCTTTAAAAATTCAGCTCAGCTCATCAATGCACTTCCAA